AATATAACGTTTCCAATTGCAAATGATCATATAATTAATGTTTTTAATTAAATAGGGATTAGTATTGTGTGAAAGTGTGCACGTGCATGTGCATGGTGGGTATATAAAAAATGGTTGTCTCTTGTTCCCATATATAATGGGATAAGGGGGAGCCAAGATAGTAAGCTGCCCCCAACATCAGGTTGAGAGCAGTTTCCGTAGAAAACTTCCAAATTATGAAATGTTCTCCGTAAGACTCGATCCCACGACCTCAAGATTAAGAACCTTGTGCTCTATCAACTGAGCTGGATAGTCATCTCGCATGGTGGGTATATAAAATGAATCCTTAATTCTAAAAGTAGGGCATTTTCCATCTCCTCACCATGTGAGAGAGCTTATAAGACAAACCAACTTTTGTGAATACTATATTATATGTATAAATACATGTATTTTCACCTTTTTTTCATTGGATTACTACAAGGGAAAAGGGCTTCTGACAAAACCTAAGGCACTTGCGATTAACGTAAGTGCCATTCATTTGGCATTGGCTGTCTAAAGGACAAAAAAGGAAGCTGCATTCAAAGGTGGGGAAAGAGAGCTGCATGTGGTCCTGTCAAACCAACAAACCAAAGGAAAAAGGATGAGAGAATGGAAACCTTTTGGTTTTGGCTCAACTTGGGATAGATATTTTTCGTAGAGGATTTGAGTTTGAATAATTATGTTTGTAGGTAGAGACAAAATCAGGATTAAATGTCGAGAAGCGTTAATTTGTTTAACTTCAAAAGAACATGTACCAATAAGGATTTAAACCTAAAAACCAGAGGGGACAAAGCTTAGTTTGATCAATAAAAGTAATAGGGATCTAAAGTGTCATTTGACAAAAAATTGAAGGGACAATAACCCCTCCAAAACATTACGTGGTTCTGTTCCTGCAGGAGATATGTTGTCAAATTGAATAATTTTTCAGACTATTAAAAATTGAATAATTTTTCAGACTATTAAAAATTGTGATAGTTAAAAAAAAATAATCGGTAAACTATGTAATTTGTCATCTATCTATTTATGTGGTTCGATTTTAGTCAGTTGTTGTTAAAAAATTAACAAAACTATTGACATTATATTTTTTATTTTTATTTTTTCAATGATGACGTGACATTATCTTATGGTGACACATCATCATCACTGTTAATTTTTTAACTACGGTTGATTAAAATGAAACAGAAATATAACGTTAGGTATGCTTTTAAAATAAAATAATTAGGTGACTAAATACATAGATTATCCCCCAAAAAATAAACCTATAGATTTTAGTTATTTAAAGGATTAATACAAAAATAAGTGCTCAAACTATACCGATTTTCCCACTTAGGTGCCTAAACTTTTTTCGGTTAATTTCAGTGCCTAATGTTTTCAACGTTACACTTTTAGTGCATCGACCCTAACAACATTAAATTTCGTCGTTAAGTGACACATGTCAAACTGAGGTGATTTTGGAAATTTTATTTTTTTAAAAAATATAAAATTTTAAAATTTTAGGTTTAATATAAAAATAAGTGTCTAAACTATATACCGAAATAAAATTTGGTGCCTAAAGAATTTTTCGTTAAAATAGGTGCCTAAAGTTTTCTCCGTTACCATTTTAGGTGCATGAGCATTAACCGCCGTTAAAAACTCTGTTAAATGACACATGTCACTTTCTAGTCATTTTGAGAATATATTTTTAAAAAATTAAAAATAAAAATATTTCTACCTCTCCTGCCCCTTTCCTCGTGTTCTTCTCCCCTCTAACCTTTTGAAACGATCAAAGACTGAAAGTCACGATTGATCGCATCTAAATTGATTGAAAAATAGTTTAAGCAGTTAAATGAAAAAAATTGTATAGGTTTCTACAGTTATTTTTATATTAAGCCTTATTTAAATTATTGCAAAACAATGGTGATGAAGAGGGGTAGGTGTGTCTGCAACCTGTTGTAATTTCTCTGATAAAGTGAAGGTTGTTTTATGTTTGAGAATGACTACTGCCTGCCTCCAAACATTTCAACCATGGCTCTGAAAAACATGGTGCTTTTTTATAATACAAGCATTCAAAAGGACACACATGCAATGAAAATGACATACCTTTTCTTTCTAATCCGAACATTGAATTTGTGTTCGAATGGTTATTCCTATTTTCATGGTCCCCCGACATATTCCAACCCAATGACAGTTTCATATTCATTTACACACATAGATAGCTACTACAACTATGCCTAAATTCTTACAAGCAATAACCCATTTTCGGTATACTTTCTTCTCTTATTCCTTTTCCTTGCTTTTCTTGAAACATGAGTAAAACCCATCAAGACAAAAAGAAAATCATGTAATTGCATTTCAACTGACCATAAAAGATCAGAAAAAGGATACAACTTTACGCTTCAACACAAATAACTATTAATATCTTGTAGAGACTGTTATGATTTCGGAACCATGATTATCGGCAAACAAATAAACACAATCGAAAAGGAAAAAACGAAGAACACTAGGATTTACGTGGAAAACCCAAAAGAAAAAAACCACAGGCAGAGGAGAAGAATTTTACTAATATGAAGGAAGAAAATACAAGATGATTTTGTTGAAAGAAAATAACTTGATTTCTAACCCTGACCATTAATATCTATTTATATAGAAAAATACTTGATTACAAAGGAAAACTAAATAAACTAAAAATCTACTTTAATAAAGTTTTTTACTTTCCCAATATTTATATATTAATTAATTTGTGTCACTTTGAATTCGAGTCACACTCTAACAAATATCCACCTTGACACGAATACTGAAAGTGCAAAGATTTCGAGACAAAACACCCAAATTCGATGTGACACCCAAACTTAACAAAAACAATTCTTCACTTCAACGAACAAGTTATCCACCTCTTCGAAAACACCCCTCAAAGGGGTAAGATTCAATAATGGACACCAACCGAATCCAAGCTTTTTCTAGGATTGGATTTAGTCTTCACATCGACATGGTTATCATAAGTGCCAACTTCGCTCACAAATGTTTCACCACGAGCAATATCATGCACAACACGATCCAGATCATCAATGATAGTTCTATCTTCAAATTCATTATGTTCACGAAATTGAACTCTTTTCTGCTTCACATAACCGTTCTAACCACGATTATTTTGTTCAACAACATTATTTGATACGGTGGATGAAACACCAACTGCATTATCTAAAACTGTTGAACTCTGTAGAACATAAAACTTGGTAGTCTTTCTCTGCCCTTTCAACACAACAAAAAAGAGTCCTTGCAAATTTTCATAGCTCCACCTTCACTGGAGAATTTGTACCCTTTTGAATCTAGAGTACCTAACAAAATTAGATTTTTACTCAAATCTGAAACATGTCTCATATTACCAAGTGTTTGAACAATCCCATCGAACATCTTAATATTGATTGTGCCAATACCTGCGACTTTACAAGAGACATTATTTTCCAAAAATACATCATCTGTAGATACAACTTCATACGTCGCAAACCAGTCACGATTAAGACTCATATGAAAACTACTACAAGAGTCAAGTATCCACTCATCACTTGTTATAAAGTTGTCGTTAGCCGCAACTAGGAGTTCTCCATCATAGTACTCCTCTACTATACCGACCTAACCAGATTTCCTAGAGTTCTACTCTTCAACTTCAACTTCTCTTTTGATTTTATTTTGCAACTTGTAACACTTCGATTTAACATGATCTTTCTTTTTACAATAGTGACAAGTTTTACCTTGGTTAGAAGATTTTGATATACCCCTTCCAATATTATCAAAAGAACACTCACCTTTTCTCCCACTGTCTGAGCTAGTTGATTCATGCATCACGAGACCATCTGCCTGGGGCTTGGAACTAAATACAAGATATTTCATCTTGTCAAACGAGTGCAGGCTATTGTAAACTTCTTCAAGAGTGAGTGTTTCATGATTGTACAAGATTATATCTCTCTGAAAGACAAGTAGGAAGGAGGCAGAGAACATAAGAGGATCAATCCTAAGTTTTCTTAATCATACTTCACTTCTAAATTCTCTAGATTACAGACAGTTTCCTTGAATGCGGTCAGGTGCTATTTAAGATACGAACCTTCTGCCAACTTGAGTGAATAAAGACGATGCTTTAGGTGCAACTTGCTGGTCAATGATTTATGCATGCATAGTTGCTCCAATTTCGCTAACAAAGATGCAGCTGTTTTTTCTTTCAACACATCCTGTAAAATTTGATTTGATAAGTGTAAACGAATCTCAGAAAGAGATTTACAATCCTTTCATTTTTCCTAATTCGTCCATTATGTTTTCGGCTTCTCATCAAATCCTTCTATTGCATTGTCGAGATCTAACTGTGCAAGAACATCTCGAATCTTTACATGCCATAGTGAGAACCTGGTGTTTTGATCCAAAAGCGGAATATCATACTTCACTGTTGCCATAATCTTGAACCCGAAGTTTTGATACTAGTTTGTTATAATATCAGAACGATAATTATCGGCAAACACATAAACACGATCGAAAAGGAAAAACAAAGAACAACAAGATTTACGTGGAAAACCCAAAAGGGAAAAACCACAGGCGAAAGAGAAGAATTTTACTAATATGAAGGAAAAAAATACAAGAGGATTTTGGTGAAAGAAAAAAATTTGGTTTCTAACTCTGACCATTAGTATCTATTTATAGGGATAGATACTTGATTACAAAGAAAAACTAAATAAAGCAGAAATCTACTTGAATAAAATTTTCTACTTTTAATCAAATTGATTTTCTTACTTTTCCAATATTTATATATTAATTAACTTGTGACACTTTGAATTCAAGTCAAACTCTAACAGAGACATATACCTTCGGAGGCGGTTACTCGAATCCCAAAAAAAAACACTTTTTTCCTTTTTCATATCGGAATCTATAACATAGATGTTGTTGCGCTTCACTACATTACATTAATTGTATCATCTACTTTCTATTTAACAAATGAAGATGTATTAAATCAAGTAGCGAAATTTGCCAGAACATGTAGATCAAAGCAAAGAGATTTTAATGGTTAAGAATCGATCATTTCTGTTGTATGATTGACTTGCCGCCACTCTACTTCCCCTTCCGTTGTGCCCGACGACATGTAACTCATAGCAAGTGAGGTCTCATTGGCTGGAACCGCAGCTGTTGATGTTTGAAATTGGTGCTTGCAAGCTTGACAAGTGATTTGTATGACAGTAGCACTTATCTTCTTCGTTGCTTTATTTTTCAAGACTTGAGCCTTGTCGAGTTCACCTTGGGCTTGTTGCCTTATCCTTCTAGCACTTACAAACTCAAGCTCGGCCATTTGAATCAGCTTCTTCGCTTCGAGTCTAGCCTTTTCGACGAAGCTATTCTCTGCCATGGCCAACTTTAGCTGCTCACTGGCATTCTTTTCACTAAATGTATCTAAACTAAGCTTGTTGGCTTCACTCGACCCTATCGAAAGCTTCAAAGAAGTCGCGCAATTCTCGTTGGAATTGGGCGGCGACTGAGGAGTCGATGACGGTAGAAGTTGATGCTCAAGGTTGTTTCGGTGTTCATAAGTAGATGCATTGCTGTGCAAGATATTAGCAGGCACGTCCATGCCGAAGTGTGTATCGCTTGAAGGACTAGTGCTTGAACCGGTTCGATATGAACAGCCCCGGTGCAGCGCCTGCAATTCGGGTTGAACACCTAGTGCGCGACCGATGCAAGCATCGTGGTGTTCAATGAAACTCTCCACCCTGAAACAACAAAAGACCAAAAAAATGATTCGAAAGAGATAACTATATATATATGAGTTTTGTTGTTGTTGTTTCAGAAACTGACCTGGAAAAAACTCGACCACAGTCACAAGAATGGCCACGGGTGCCACAAATCTTGAGATGAGCCTTGTAATCAGACTGAACCGCGTAACCTTTGGCGCATTTTTGGCAAACCCATCTCTTCTGATTGCTGTGCTTCCTCCTGAAATGTTTCTTGATGCCAACCAGATCTCCCAAGGCATGGCAAGGCTCATGGTGCAAACAGCTCGGCTCTGGGCAAACGTAAACCCTCTTCTTCACCTCTCGTGTTTCTTCCCTTTTCAGCAGCTTCCATGGAACCTTGTGCCTTCTCCTGTGCATTTGAAGGTTCTGGTCTCTTTGGAACCCTTGGTTGCAGATGTCACACACATACCTGTCTGATTCCAGCAGCGTTTTTGGTGATAAAGCAACCACCTCTGCATCCGGATCTACATTCACAAACATAAAAGTAAAGGAAAAAACAATTGAGTTAAGAAGAGAAAAAAATAGGGTCTGCTTTTGTTTTTCTTTTTTACCTGGGGTACCAGCAGGCCTTCTTTTTCTTTTCTGAGTGACCCCATTGAGATGATCAGAGGAAGAAGATCGAAACACTGGAACAGTAGTGTTATCCAACATGTTGCAATTTCTTTGAGCCTTGGTTAGTGTACTGTAAGTTGAAGTGAAAACAAATTAAACAATCAATCTTTTTGAAACATGGAGGGGGAATTCAGCTTTACTGATTAATACAAAGGAAAATGGATAGAAAAAGGGAGAATAAAAGGGAAAAAAAGGAAGGGTTATTTAGAGAGAGAAGGGGAGGAGGGAACATGAAGAAGAAGAAGATAAAGCTTTTGCTATTGCTTTCTGCAATCACCTTTCTTTTAAGTTTTTAAAGCTTCAAGTCACCTTTTTTAAAAGGAAAAAAAAGAACAAAAGAAAGTTTTTCTTTTTCCTTTTCTTTGATTTGTTGTTTCATTGAACCCCACCTTCAGCAGTTGCAGTTAATGTTGAACGGAAGCCAAGTCTTTGCCTATAAAGAGTTGGAGAGAATTTGAGTCAAAATTCGAATTTAACTCGAATCGAGTATTATTTATTTAAATCAAATTCAAATAATTTATAATCTATCTCAGTTTAATTTACGATTTTACTTCCACCATCAAAACAAACTCTCATTATCTATTCACATTACACCCTAAATTTGCATGATTTCCCATATTGCATATATATACAACCAGACATTGTAAGCCATGCTACAAGCATTGGTTGATTAATTAAGCATTTGTCTAATAGGGTAGCTTTCCGTAAGGTGAAGGAAGCAAGATTTGTCACTTTCAAGATGGCTGTAATCATTGCTAGAATAAAATTTCACCCTTTTTCTTCTCTTCTCTTCTCTCTTTTAACTTTCAAATTTGTCCTTGAAAAAACAAACTTTCAAATTTGAAGTAACCATTTGCCCTTCCCTCATTGTAACTCCTTAAAGACCGCTAGTTAAACGTAACCCTTAAAGCCCTTTAAAATGACATGCCACCTCAAAAATCACCTTAGACAAATGATCATTCATTAATCAAAGACTTTGATAATCAACTCTGATGATTGATTGCCATATCTATACAAACTGAACAAACTAGCAATCTACTTGCAGATATGGTAATCTTATTGGTCGTTATCATGATCTTAGGTTTAACATTGGTCATCCTACAACATAAAAAAAGAGAACTTTTACTTTCACCACTAGAATCATTGGACTCTAGTAGAAAAACTCTCCCTTCTTCGTTACTTGGTAATAAGTGTATCGATACAAACTAAACAAATTAACCATCAACTAGTAGTTATGATGATCCTATTGCTCGTTATTATCATCCTAGGTCTGACATTGATCACCTTACGGTCGGGATATTGATAGGTGATTTATTTAGTTAATATTTTGTGTCTAAATTGCCCATGGGTTTTAGGTTTTCGTGACTGATTTATTTGTTTTGATTCATTTTATTTACATGACCTTGGATTCTAGAAAATGCACTAAAGGCAAAATTTGCAATTTTTTTATTTTCGGAAACAAATCTGGATTAATGGGCATGACTTTGGGCATGACGCATTGACGTGGCATGATGTCAGCACCTTCCAGAAGATCCAGTCAACTTTTTTAGAAGGAGAATAGATCAACCACGCAATTTGAAGTTCGAATTGAATATTATCCCAACTTTTTTAGGATTTTAGTTTAATTAATTCAAGAATTATCTTTAAGATTATTTTTATTATTATTCCATGTTTATCTTTAAGAGTTTTAGTTTAAGTAGTTTATGAATTATCTTTAGGATTTATCTTTTTATTTTAAGAATTATTTTCCTTGTTTTTAGGATTTTGAAGGCTGTAAATGCCCTCTCAGGGTAAGCCTAAAAACAATCTCTACAACTCAGATATATCAGAATCATTCTTCTCTTCTTTGCCCTGAGTTTTCAAAAAAAAATATTTTTTTTCTTTTTGTTTTTAAAGTTTTTTTTTTGTTTTCACTTTTATTTTAAATATGTAATGCTTAGCTAATTTTCTTTTAAGTCGAAGGCTAAAGCGATGACTCAATTCCAAATATGAGAGTTGTAAGACAATTAAATCGCTTCAGATATCTCTCTTAGTTTTTTGGGCTTATTTTCAAATCAAAACAATTTTCAAAATCAAAAGGTCGACGTTGGTCTGGATGTTGTTATGATTAGTGTGTGAGGAAGGGTCGGCTTATTAAAGCACAATCAACTTCCTAAGAACACACTTAGCAAAATTGTTTCCTAAGAGGAAACTGAGATCAGAACCAATTATTGTTGAAATAACATAATCCGAGTCGGCAGCTTTTTGAGCCTCAACGTTTTTAGATACAACATTGTTGTTGCTTAGATCGATTCACAAACCGATATTAAAGATTGCACTTGGTTATTTGGTATACAAAGCATAGTCACAAGGATTTGTCTAGACAAGTGACCGACCTGAATCTTGAAGTAAAATCTATTTCGATGATCCGAGGAAACTGAGTCAAAGATGAAAGCCTGAGGCTACTTTTTACAATAAGTCTTCTTTTCAAACTCCAATTGTTATTTTGTTCTATTTATTATTTTTTCTACTTTGTCTCTATCTTATCTTCAAACAATTTTTAATTAACTCAAACCCTTATTTATCTTATTCTTATCTCAACTTTTATTTTTATTATTTTTATTTATTTTTTACCTTAAATTTAATCCCTATCCAAAGTCTACGTTTAAAAATAAGAAGATAACTGAATCAGAAACTACAGAGTTTCTGTGGGATCGACCCTTACTTTTCACTTGCTATATTTTCTTTATATTTTTTGGGATTAAGAATTATTTTGACGCGAAAAACAACACGTGTCAGATATTTGTACCTCGAATGAGACCCAAAAAGGACTTTTCTTTCACCTCTAGAATCAATGGACCCATGTAAAAAAGTTCCTCTTCTTTGTTGCTTGGTAATAAGTAATGACAACAGTCCACGACATTCTTTCACTGATCACAATTCTTCGTTTAAACCAGAAATCACGATTAGCCGTTTAAACCAGAAGAGGTGAACTGCTCACCTTTCTTCTAAAGCATCTCTAGCTTGCTTCAGTGGGCTGGCTAGAGATGAAGACAACTATTTTGCTTTTTGAGGAAGGAAGATAGTTGTTTTGATTTTTTGGGTGAGATCTCGATTGATTCTTTCGTCCAAACTCATTATGTCAATTGTTAATGACAAAAAGTTTATCTCGTATGTCGTTTGCGGTTCACATAAAGTCACATTCGATGTTTAAATAAAGATGAGAGTTGATTATGGAGGATGAAGAAGACAATACAAAGGTTATAAGAGTTGTATCCTTTTTTATAGTCTTGAAGATATTCATAGTGGTTTTTAATACGAGTATTAATAGTACGATCATTATGATTATTTATAGATTGATAAATTAAGTAAATATAATAATAATTTTTTGAATTTCGTTGTGATGTATCATGTGAATCTAATAGAAGTTTTATATATGCATTATATATTAATTACTTAACACTGTTTCTTATGTTTCGGCAATACTTCCTAATCCATGTCTGTACTTATTTTTTCATGATATTTATGCCTTTGGGTAGTCTCAAATATCATTACTTTTCTTTAACGTCCACAAGAACTCTGACCTTACAAGTTGTACAAACATGCATTTAAGATTTAGTAAATTACATGTTTAGTATTTAAATTATAAGTTTTGACTCGTTTTAGTATTTATTTTTTTTATTTTTTCAAAATCATTCCTAAAATTTAGTTTTTGTTTCATTTTAGTCCCCACTGTTAAAAACTTCATTTTTTGTTTCATTTTAGTACCCTGTTCAAAATTTAACGTTAAGTTTCAAAAAAAATGAAAGTTTAGGTACTAAAACGGATCAAAATTGATAGCTTAGGTACTAAACACATTAAGTTTTTAATGGTGGGGTACTAAAAACTTTAGTTTTTGTTTCATTTTAGTACTCCGTTCAAAATTTAACGTTAAGTTTTGAAAAAATTGAAAGTTTATGTACTAAAACGGGCCAAAACTAATAGTTTATATACTAAACGCATTAAATTTTTAATGGCGGGGTACTAAAATGAAAATGATAGGTATGATTTTAAAACATTGAAAGTTTAGGTATTAAAACGGACTAAAACTTATAGTTTAAGTACTAAATGCATAGTTTACCCTTAATATTCATGGCATATCAGAATTTTTTTGGATAATAAAATTGGAGGGTAATTTATTTATTTTGGTAATTTCAGAAAAGTAAAAACAATTCAAGCATATATAAATTAATAGAGTTGTGTAGTACATGCATAACTGCATAAATATTAATATATACACCTTGTAAAGTTAAAGCAATAACTCTTTACTTACTTTTTTAGGTACATCTTGATAAACAAAGTTGAATGTCTTTTTGAGTTCTACTTTTTTTCACTTGTCCCAGGATAAATACTATTACTAATACAGTAGGACATGAATTGGTAATGGTAGATACATTCCCATTAATTATACACCACCATCTTAGTTTGAATATTGCAGGTGAAACCCAACCTTTAGTATTTAGTTTGAATTAGGGTAGAAATGAATGGGAATGACATCATTTTATAGAGGCACGTTACATGGGAAGCGCTTTTCGAAAAACATATTTTATAAGATGTACTTTTATCAACGTAACAAGTGTTTTTGGGTGGTCTCTCAAGTGTTGACGTTTTTTTATAACGTAGGACCTCCCAAGGCCAGGCTAAAGAACCCGACCCTACAAGGCAACTTCCGGAGGGGCTCAAAGAACCCATCACTCTGTCCCCCCGCTTTTTTCCAGGATTCCCAACCAGCGCGGTTCGAACATAGGACATGAGACCAGCTCATAATCCCAAGAGCACTTGCTTTGCCAACTGGGTCACACCTACAGTGGTAACCAAAATGAAAGAAATGAGAATAATATGTCAAAAGCTTTTAAAAATCTGTACGAATTTTATTAAAAATAAATAGTGCAAGCACACATATTCGCACGAGCACATGTGTATGTCTTATCTTCAATCACTTAATTAATGCGTATTTAGAAGATTGTATTTAAACTCTTTAAAAAAGCTTATATATCTAAAGGACGTGAGAGTTGAAAGTATTTGTTTTGGATACTGAGATCC